TGCAGGACAATGCTCAGTTGACTGAACCACACCAGTCACGGCTGAAAAGTACCTGACATTTTAAATATACTTTGTTTTTGTTAAAGTAGGTGATGTCTCATTTAACCTTCGTTGGGTTTTACAGTTTAATAGGTGAAACAATGTGGGCTTTAGTTTTATAAATATATTTATTTCATGGTATTTCATATTCTAAATGTCAGGGATTGTCAGTACATTTGTAGAATTTGGGAGCACTGGTTTCTACATTTTGTATTTCCATTCATCTTTTGCTCGAGAGACCTGTTGTATAATTTAACATTAAATACAATCAATCTTTTTTTAATTTACTAGGACAGTTCGTGTCGCAATGCAAGTTCCTGTTGTAATGACATCGTTGGGTCAGAAAATTTCAACTGTGGCAGTTCAGTCAGTCAATGCAGGTGCACCATTAATAACCAGCACTAGTCCAACAACAGCAACCTCTCCAAAGGTAGTTATTCAGACAATCCCTACTGTGATGCCAGCCTCTACTGAAAATGGAGACAAAATCACCATGCAGCCTGCCAAAATTATTACCATCCCAGCTACACAACTTGCACAGTGTCAACTGCAGACAAAGTCAAACCTGACTGGATCAGGAAGCATTAACATTGTTGGAACCCCACTGGCTGTGAGAGCACTTACTCCTGTTTCCATAGCCCATGGTGCACCTGTAATGAGACTATCAGTGCCTACTCAACAGTCATCTGGCCAGACTCCTCCCCGAGTTATCAGTGCGGTCATAAAAGGGCCGGAGGTTAAATCGGAGGCAGTGGCAAAGAAGCAGGAACATGATGTGAAAACTTTGCAGCTGGTACAAGAAGAAAAACCGGCAGATGGAAACAAGACAGTGACCCATGTGGTGGTTGTCAGTGCGCCTTCAGCTATTGCCCTTCCTGTAACTATGAAAACAGAAGGACTAGTGACATGTGAGAAATAAATAGCAGTTCTGCCATGGACTTCAGACTGTTAGTGCGAGTACTAACATAAATATTTGCAAGGGATGTCATCAAGAAAAGTCAAAAGGAGACTTTAAAACATTCTTAATGCATATAGGAAAACAATCAAACTTACTGGAAATGTTACCTATCCCATGTTTCAGTGGGAAATGAACTACATATTGAGATGCTGACAGAAAACTGCCTCTTACAGTAGGAAACAACCGAACCCATCAATAAGAATAAGGATTGAAAGGGACCAAGCAACTCACTACAATATCAAGTTACACTAAGACTTGGAACACTAATGTTCTGTAAGAGGTTATAGTTTTCAGTGGGGAGGGGTTGGGATGGGTGATCTCATTGTTACATAGAGCAATTTTTGATGCATTTTATATGCATACCAGCAAATATTACTGTGTTCACACAGAACTCACTTAACTGGTGCTATGTGAAGACTCTGCTAATATAGGTATTTTAGAATGTGAATTGAAGAATGGATCCAAAAGCTTCAGAAAGATAGCAAAAAAGATCTAGTGCGATTTTTTTTATATCATATAGCTTAAGCTGATTTAAAACAAAGGCCTTAGACTAATTTTCGATTTTCTTTATTGAAATAAGCTAATGGCTTGTTTGTGTAAAGCTTTTTTTATTAAAAAAAATTTTAAAAACCTTGTACCTAGCACAGTATTGTTATAGAATTTACATGTAACATTTTATATGGTAGCTTAAGTCTGTCAGTTTCTTGATTGTTGACAAATTAACAGTTGGCCCTGGCCTTTTGCTGTAACATGCTTGTGTCACTCACTTAGCCCTGGCGTCTGTGCACACACCAGTTTCGGTTCTCCTGTCACTTGGAAGTTAAGGCTCAGCATGAATTTTTGTCAGGTAATGCTTAATACCTGGAGTTTTCTTTTTTCCTTTTTTTTTTTTTTTTTAAGTTGAAATTTAAGAGGGAAAGTACCAGTGTTCAGATTTGAACTATAATAGTTTGTATATTCAACATTTGAAGTATATTCTATTTTGTTGTACTCTTGTTTCAAAGTGTATTCAAGTAGGTTTTCTGAAATATAGAAATTTATCTTGCATTTTGGTCTCTGGTTGATATTTATAACTATTCAAAAACTAGAATAGAGACATTGTTTTAGTTAAGAATAGAAATCCTCTTTCCCCTTCCCAACTACTGCGTAAGAAATCCTTCTGTTTTGTTCTTCTATATTAATATTTGGTAAATAACTGCATGTTGCCACTTCCTTTCTAATTACTATCATGAACTACAGTGTTATACTTACCATAGTGAATTTACTATTTTAATGTTGGCCACACTTAAAGAATTTATATTTTAAATCAAGACCATTTGTTTCTCAATCATACTTTTTGAGGTTTAGGAAGAACAAGTAATCTCTAGGCCTTTCACAAATTAGAAAGTAGAGGTACCAGAGGGATTACATGAATTTCCTAGTTTCACACCAGACTAGGTTGTGTGACTCTACATCTTAATGCTCTTTCTACTACAAAGAAAAGTCTATTTTTACATCTTTTAGAAATTTAAATAAACTGATGCTTAAGATTTTGTGGCCTTTAACTGTGCATTTCATCTGATAACTAAAGTTGACAATGATTTTTATAACAGCTCCCTTTGTAATCTTTTATTTTTCCCATAAACATACCTGATGGTACTTTTTAATAAAAGTTCAAAGAAAAACTCACCTGATTCTTAACCCACTTGAGAGTTAATCTCAGATTTTACCTCTTTAAATATTTCCTAAATATTTCAGCTTTCAAAATCTGCACTTCTGTGCTCTGGCAATTCATTGTTTTCTTTCTTGCACTGCAATTTCATTTGTTGAGTTGTCTTCCATACTGCTGTACAGCAAAGATTAGAGATTTTACCTTACTTACACCTCTCCCCAAGGGCTGAGCACATTAAACACAGACATTTATTGATTTTGGTAACATTTGTTAAGAATGTAAGTCATGTGCTATGGAAGATAGCTAAAGCAACTTAAATTTTTAGTGAGTAATTTTCTCTTTAGTTATATTAATTGGTTCTAATGAGGTTAAGCCAGGGCTACCTAGCTTTCTCTACTGCTGTACCTGAATGTTTTTTGTGCATTTCTTCCAGAGTAAGTATACCAACAGCTTAATTTGGAAACACGTTGACAGTATATACCGATCAGAGTGTTTCTGGTGATTTGCATTACTAGTTGTATGTTTTTTTATTAAATTTTTTTTTTTTTTTTTTTTTTTTAAGAAAAAGGAAGAGAGGGAGAAAGAGGGGCATGTGCCCTACATTGGGAATTGAACAGGTGACACTTTGGTTCGCAGGCCAGTGCTCAATCCACTGAACCACACCATCTAGGGCTAGTTGTATGATTTTTAATCTCAACCCTTTTGAACTGTAAATTATTATATTGGGTTGGCCCAAAAGTCCATTATGTTTTTTTCTATAAAATAAGACATTTTTCATTTTCACCAGTAATTTTTGGTGAAAATTTGGGTATTTTGAGTATGTTGGCTGTCTCCTGCTTTTGGCTTCTAGTTGGTGGAGGCCAGAGGTTTTACTAAACATCTTTCAATGCATATGACAGACCACAGCAAAGGATTATTTGGCCAAAATGTCAGTAGTACCAAGAAACTTTGCAAACCACACTTTAAAAATTTCTTATTTTTAGACTGAGGGGAAGGAGAAAGGGGCAGAAACATTAATGTGTGGCTGCCTCTTGAGTGCCCCCTACTGGGGACCTGGCCTGCAACCCAGGCGTGTGCACTGTCTGGGAATCGAACCAGTGACCCTTTGGTTCACAGGCCAGTGCTCAATCCACTGAGCACAGCCAGAGCTGCAAACCACTTTTGACGCGGTCGGTCCACTATAATACCTTCTGCATACACTGCACTAGTCTATTTTTTTGTGTGTGTTTCAGTTGCATTTTTACCTTTCTTGAAATAATAAAGCATAATATGCTGAAAATGTGTATCTTCCATCTTCAATATTAAAGTGGCTGCACAAAAATTCAAGTTTTTTTTAAATGCATGCTGATATGACAGCTATCACAATACAATCTTAAATTTAACAAGATTGTTTCAAATGAAGTTAAAGACAACTAAGCACTGCTAAGCCATTGTATGGGAAAAACATAATGGACTATTTGGCCAACTCAGTATTTGCTTTTTGTGTCCAGTCTATTAAAAAACCACATACCAATAGCTTGATGCATCTGCATTTTCCAGCTTCACCAGGCTTATGAACAATGGTCAGAAGTCTGTCCATGTATTTCTCAGGTCATCTTCCAGCAACAATTCCAGCCTTTGCCACCCTGCTTACCAAATGACCTGAGAACATGGAGGTCATGAGCTGTAAACTCCCCCACTTTCTGGAACCTTTGCTGTAAGACCATCTACTCACTCCAGCATCCATCCTTCCCATGTGTCAGTGGAAGGAGGCAAGTGTGCCTACTTCCTGTACTCAGCATCTCCTTTCACAGCTGCTTGGTTTCCTTGTTCCAACAGTTAACAGCTCATCATTCTGTCCTTAACTAACTTGCAGTCTGAATTCTGGCTTAGAAACAGTTCTTACTGATGTCTCCAGTACCCAGTAGTCGCCTCAGATGTTTTATTTTTTTCCACCTGATCTTGTGCCTCAGCCTTGTTAAATTCTTTTTGGTTTTCTATAACAAACACCCCTCTCATGGTTTTCTTCTCCCTGACCAACTCTTCTTAGTTGATTTTGCTTTCCCATTTAGTGTTAGTATTTACCTAGATTCTGTCTATGGGGCTCTTTTCCTCATAGAGAACATGTAAGAATTAAATGAGTTCATGATCAGGTTTAGAATCAGTGCCTGACACACAAAAAGCACTCTGTTAAATGTTTACTATTATGATTTCACCTCAACATGACTGTTAGAGAATCTCACCCATGCAGATAGTTTTTACTACCAAATACATTGTTCTAGCCTAGACCTAGAGCCTTAAATGGGTTTATCTAATTGTCAAATGGCTATTTCTTCTGAATATCCAATTCAACTCTTCTAAAATCTGTTCTTAGGTCAATAAATGATGTTACTGATAACCCATTACTCCTTACCCTCTATGACAACCTCACTCGTATTTACTGCTTTTACTGGTAACCCACACCCGACTCCTACTGTTAACATCTTCATCTGAAGATTATATCTATGGTGGTGGCTGAAGCCATTTTGGTGAGTTACTGAGTTTTCCTGGGTCTCTTCCCAAGTGTACAGGAGGTATTTGTGTTCAACTTTTGTTTATCTTCTTTTAATCTTTTATTACAGGGATGTCTCACCCAAGAAACCAAAAGGATAGAGGGGACATTTTTCTTCCCTAAAGAGCAGTAGGTCTAGGTGTGTAGTAGGCTGTACCATCTCTGCTTGTGTAAGTATGCTCTACCGATGTTCATGTGAGGATGAAACCTGCTAACAACGTGTTTCTCAGAACATGCCCATCATTAAGTGGCAGATGACTGTATTGGTGAACAGCATTGGAAATTCAAATTCTATTTTGGCTCTTGTTCTCATTTAGATTCACCTACTCAAGGCTGTCGTGGTAATGTCTCCCGGCTGGTGTACTCTCAGGTAGGTAGATGGTGTTTACTGCCTGTGCTTATAAGAATTCTAATTAGCGCAGTGTTTCTCAGCAACTCTCATAGGATTACTATTAGTCATGCTAAGATTTGAAACAAAAGGTACAGATATTCTGCTTGCCATTCCTTTCAGGTAGCCCCAAGACTTTATGTCTACAATGTACTGACAGTGGCTTGAAAAGGGGTTCCAGTGTAGAATCCTTGCGTGAACCACTTTGGGAACTCCAGCCATGACACTTGAGATAGCATAATTAGCAAAGATACCTTCAGTGTGCAGCTCTAGACCCTCCTTTGTCCACTTTAAAAAATGAAGATCTGTGTGCAAATGGATAGTGTGGACCACCATGTTAACATATTAAAAAATCAAATCTATTGCAGATTTTTTTGGACTGAAAGGACAAGATATTAAAAGTACTAGTTTTAAAAGACCATTTATTAATCTTACATACATACAACTCATGGGTTAAAATATTTATCAACTTATTACCAACAGGTTATTTTGTTTGGAAGCGGCTTCACCTGTTACCTTTACCACTTTTTTCCCCCAGTGAAAGAAAATCCTAGGTTATCTTTCTTTTTACAATATTTCTAAATGCTTTGAACCAGTCCGCTGGGTCTCTTAGGAAATTTCAGTGACAGCCTCATAAAGAGGTTTTCCTAGTTTCCCATCTCTGAAAAGAAGGTCCCACTGACTTTTCCAGCCACTGCTACATAACAGCTCCTAAGTAACCTATTGTGAAAAGCTCACTTCAATACAAATAATGACATTGAGTAACCTCAAATGTATACCAGTAGCATTCCAATGGAAAATTATAAATGTACAGCAGTGATTAAGTAATGAAGACTGGTCATGGAATCTCTTCAGGAAGTACAATAATGGGGGACATGGAAACAGCAAGAGTTATGATGAAGAACTTATCAACAAGAGCTGATACTGCCACTTAAAAAAACAATCAAAACACTGGGGCCTCCAGGCTAAATAGTTCCTTTTTACACTACTATTGTTAGACCCCAAGTAAAAACATCTTAAAGCCTTAAGAAAATTACTATAAATTACTGTATAACTCATATTTTGCATGGGTGTAAAATGTTTATAGTGCTATCTATAATTTATTAATTTTACATGAAGATACAAAAAATAAATATTGCCATGCATCTTGTTGACATTGAAAAAGTCAAATAAATAATTTGAAACACTGTAGAGAAATCACTCCTGCATACTTGTTAATTATGGAGAACTCAAAGTATTTTTGTATATAGCATCATCAAACTGAAAGCTTCAGAACAAGCCTAATTTAATGCTCTTAATTCATCTAAATGTAATGCTAAGGGAAAGAAGACCATACAAGCCAAAACTGGAGTGCAAACACCTTCTTCACTGTAGGTTTTAATGGAAAAGGTTCGTGAACTAGTGGGATTCCTTCCCAAGGGCATGCTGGAAACATGGAAATGTGAAGCAAGAGAAACTGGGAATCCTTCCTCGGGCAATTGAGGTTAAGACTCTTGTGATTAAAAAGACACAGAGAAGCGTTTATAAAAGTCGGTCAGGTTCCTCATTGAAGCTGAAGTCACATACTAGAGACAAGTGGTCTGAAGGATAATGGAAGGATGGTAGCCGGTTGGGTCCAATCTGTTCTTCAGTGAGCAAGTCAAGAGCGGACCTCACACTCAGAGCATGTTTAGAATACCAGATGTAGTCCAGGGTGTGCCGGCATTCCCCCGAGGTCCGGATCTTCCAGGTGGTATATGGCGGTTCTGACTGCCCATCAGCGCTCAGCAGCTTATAGGCGCTGTTCAGGTTCAGGCTGGAGGAAGCAAAGTGTTTATAGACCTCCTCTGTTGGCTCGGCATTGAAGTCCCCACAGACAATGAGGGGAATCTTGGCTCCCTGGGTAATGTTCTGCAGGTTCCGGAGAAGATCACAGCCTTGAGCTGATCGAAACTGCTCCCAGCCGGTGCGTGCTTTTAAGTGGGTGACGGCGATGCAGAACTGTCGACCAGACTCCTTGCACTCCAGGGTCTGTGCAATGGCCACCTGGTTGGTTTTCAACGTCATGGCCGTCAGCCTAATATTGGCACTGTGGACTAGCTTGAATCGGCTCTGGAGGAAAAACAAGGCACAGCCATCTGGCCCATTGTTATGTTCTACATCTAGACAAGGTGACCAGGGCTTGGGGAAAAACGTGCCTTGATAGCCCAGTCTGCTGAGGAGTGGTTGGAAGGTGTCAAAGTAGTGGTCTACCTCTTGGAGGCACAATATATCGGGTTGGTAGGCTAGGATTTCTTCTAGGATGAGACATTTTCTTTCTTCCCACTTGAGTGCTTCCAAAGGGCATTGTGCAAAGTTGTCTTTGCCCTCTCCAAGAGCTGAAATAAAAAAGCCAGTCGATTGTCAGCTACTACAGAACTATGACTTCTCAGCACCTGGAGTGTCTCCTTGGGTGGGATTTTACTCAAGACCACCCTGATGCTTCCTGCTCCAGATGCTTTGGGAGACTCTTGGCCTAAACTGCGTTCACTCACCAAACTAAAGAACCTCTTAACATCCAGATAAAGCAAGCAACTGACTTTATTTTATATTAAAACTATTTCATGGACATAGTATTTTTAAGTTTTAACAGCTTTCTTTGCAGTTGCAGAGGTCTAAACTATGCCAGATGACATGAATATATTTAACTCTATACTTAGGTCAATACTGACTGTAATAAGCCATCTGAACTGATACAGGCACTGCCCCAAATGAATGGAATCCATTTTAAATGGGCACCTTTTCCTACTTACAGATGAACATCTGGAAAAAAAAAAAAATAAATGAACCAAAGATTGGGAAGTCTCACTCCCAGCAGAAGTTCTATGTGTTACCCATTTAGTAGACTCAGTTCCTCCCTTGCAAATGCTATCTCAGTGCTGAGGACTGAAAGCTGGAGACAATGGAAAGTTCTGAGGCTGATAAAAGATGGGGTCCTTCAGATTTTGATGTGTTGGGAAGTAGACTTTCATTGTACTTGGATGGTCTACAGATATGAAAGCTAAGGAAGAAATCTTGAGCTGCTGGATTCATGATTAGTGAAAACCAGAGGACTGGCTTTCTTAATGTCTCCTTCTGGGAGCTCATGCTGCCCTTGTCACTCCAGCCTACACTGCCCTCTGCCCCACACCTCTTCCCTCCAGGGAAGACAGCAGTGCACCAGGCCACGTGAAGGAGCAGAAAGGCTGTCACCGCAAACTTAATGGCTCACGTACAGAAGCACCAGGCATACCTTGGGCGAGGATGTTCCACTGCATGACCCTAATAGGTGGGTGGCTACTGGGGCAATCTGTCCTCACATCCACAAAGTCCCTCTGGAACCGGGGAGGTCGAGTGTGCAGGACTGCCCTGCATTCCTCAAGGAGCTCTTTCGGATCAATGGGCTCCAGGTGTTCTGGGTCAGGTGACTCCAAATACTGGGAGGCAGCGCTGCTGTTCAGTGTCTTGGTGAGAGCACTATAGAGTCTGCTCGTGCCGTTGCCCATGGAACACGCTACAAGAAAGGAAAGGGAAGCACGATTACACGCTCAGCTCCTTTCTGGTCCTTCTTCCATTTTCACCTAGCTCACCTAGAAGGCAAGCTACAGTCCATAGAAGCAGAGACCCGAATTTAGGGCAGTGCTGCCACTAGCACAGAGGTGGATTAAAGGAGTTCTCATGTCTACCTTTCTACCAGGATGGGAGATTGAAATGCCACTGTTAAAATAATCTCGGAGCCTGGGCCGGCGTGGCTTGGCTGGGCATCGTCCCCTGAACTGAGAGGTGAGAGGTTGCTAGTCTGATTTCCCGTCGGGGCACGTGCCTGGATGGCAGGTTTGGTCCCCTGGGGCACATGTGGAAGGCAGCCAATCTATGTTTCTTGCCCGACCCTTCCTCCCCCTCCCTCTAAATCAAAAATAAATATTAAAAAAAAAAATTCTGGTCTCTGAGAACTAATATAATTACTTCTCAAGGTAAAAATACCTTTATTACTGAAAACCAGGTGCTCTATATGGCCTCCTCTAACCTATGATTTGTCTTCATAAAACCCAGTGTCAGGAAAGCATAGCTGAAACAATCTTTCTATATACTTAAGACCAGTTTTGTAAAGAGGCAGATGTTAGGAAGCTTATGTTAACCCTGGAAGAGAGAGTGTCACAGCAAGCTGCCGCTCCAGGATATCTGTCACCTCTCCAAGCTCCGTCTGTTAGGTAGGAAGAGAAATGGCCAGATTAACCCGTATCCCATTTCTCTTGGGTGTTTGCTGTAAAGCAGGGCTCTGTGGACCCCACTGAGCAATGTAGTTGACAATCTAGTGTCAATTGCTGCATTTTTTTTTTTTTGAAATTAGAAAAGGGGTTGGGGAAAGAGGAGGGGTCAACAGACAGCTGCACTCATTCCTGGGGATCATGGGGGGAGAAAGGGCAAGGAGATGTGCAGGAGGCACACTGTCTTCTGTGCATGTTCTAGTGCTTTGCTTGTTCTCCTAATAATTACAAATCACTAAGGAGAACAGAGCACAACTGATTAGCATGAGGGAAGTCGTACCTGTCACTTCACTTGTAAGCAGCTGATTCCTTTTAGGTCAACTGTACTTTCTCTTCATTATACTATAAAGTAGAGGCAAGTTTTACTTAGAATTACCTCCAAGATTCTGTGCATGATGAATCTTGGTGTGGAGGGATCAGGATTTCCCTACCACATCTATTCTTTGCCTTCTTTTGAAAAGACACAATTTTCTGTATAGAAATACATTGTTTGGCAGGCTGATGGACTATCTGAAACTAGTTATCAATCAAATTCACCATGGCAGGTCACAAGAGCAAATTCAAATTCTTTACTACCAAACGTCCTTTAAACATCAGGGTCAATAAGCATGCTAGCATGTTCTCTCTCCTTTTCATCAACTCAAAGGGGTCCCCCCTCCCCCGCCCCAAGTAAGACCACTAGGTTAAGAAACGCATGCTAGTTTCCCCAACATACACATAAGTGTACATGCATTAGCCAGCAAGACTTCTTTCTCACACACATGCACATGCACAAATGCGCATATGCGCGCACCCGCGCCCCCCCCCCCCCCCCGCGTTTCCAAACTGACTTGAATATACTGAGTTCTTTTTAATCAATTTGCTTGCTTGTTTGAGTACAAGGGTCCAAAGGAAGGTATTCTTGGCTGGCTGGCTGGCTGGCGGGGTGTGTGTGTGGGCAGTACGTGTGTGTGTGTGTGTGTGTGTGTACAGCAGTCTCCAGATCAGCGGCAGCAGCATCACCTCAACTGTAGGCCCAAGTGTCACAGGCATCACAGCCACTCACAGGGCACAACGGAGGGTCTTAAATTTGAGACAGCGATACCTGACATCTGTCAGGCTCTAGGAACTATTAGCTTGTTGTAGCTCAGTTCTAACAGGATTGTTCTACATCCTGTTGGTGACGTATCTCTGAGTTTTGGGGTGGTTATGGTGATAAGCAAGTATGTGGAAATGAAAAAGAGGGTATCCAATAGGAGTCTAAGGTTTGAGGAGTCCCGTGAAGCCAGAAAAACTACCCTGAACCACACTTCCTTCCAAAACTTAGAACAACCCTCAGATAAAGACAATGAAAGCATGCCAGAAAGACATGCCTAGAAATCAAATCAAAATGAGCTGAAGGTCTTTAAGAAAATGGGAGTATGGCCTCAATCAGAATTGCAGAACTCAGTAATGAGATAAAGAAAGCATTTGAGGGATAGTGACGAATATTATGAGCTTAAGCAAAGAAGATTCGACAAATTGAGTAACAGGAGTTTTTATAATGGGAAAAACAATGCATGGAAATAAACACAAAAACTATAAATCAAGAAAAGTGAGTACAGAGGGCTAATCACGCAGGATGAATTAAGTTGTAGAATTCTGATCTATAACATGGTGACTATCGTTAATAAGACTGTATTATATAGTCGAAATAATCTTGAAGAGTAAATCTTAAAGAGATCACACCACACACACACACACTCAAGATAAATATGTGAGACGACAGGCATGTTAATTAGCATGATGAGGTATTCATTTTACAGTGTATATGCATATCAAAACATTACTGGAACACCTTAAATATATGTAATTTTTATTTGTTAATTTTACCTCAATAAAGCTGGAAAAATGAATGATTTAAAAAATCATAAGGTTAAAAACATGTAACATGGACATTTTCAGACACCAACATGTAAAGCTTTGTCTTTGTTATTTTAAGAAAGAGAAAACTTGAAAAACAAAAAAAATACTTGAAACTACATATTAAAATAACATACCACATACCTGAGAATATAACCCAGATTGACCAACACCAACTGGACTGTAAAGGAAAAGAGAAAAAAGTCCCTTGGACATCTAGGCAAAAAGAGCAAGTAACTTAGAAGGAAAATAATATACGGCTCATCTATGTATGACCCAAGAATCTTATATATACCCAGCAAAATGAATATTGACTCTATGACCCCTTCTTGAGGAAGCTACTAGAGCAGGGGTTGGCAAACTATAGCCAGAGGCATATTTGTACAGTCCTTGAATAAAGAATGGTTTTAAGTTTGTTACCACATATACACAAATATGTGGCAGGGTCATTTTTGGCCCCAAAAGCCTAAATGTTACTGCCCAGCCCTTTTCAGAAAAACGTTGCTACTCCTGGAACCACAGGACATGCTTTAGACCAAAATGACCAGAGACACTGATATATAAACTGCTGGTGATCATTAAATATACAGCTACTTAGATACTTAAGTCTAAATGAGGTTAGAGGAGAGAGTACAATCTATGATGACCATATAATCCAGTAGTGAACAAATACAGATGTAGTGCAGCCAAAGAGGGTGTGTGTGTGTGTGTGAAAAGCAGGAACCAGAATGAGAAAACATTCAACGTTTTTTAAATGTTTCAGTAATCGTAATTACTAATGATAGTGTGAGTATTGTTCTGAGACTGTTGTGTAGATGTGAGTTGAAGCAAACTGGACATTCTAATTCCATGATTCCTAGCCTTTTTTTTTTTTTTGGGGTGCAGTTTGGAAATGCATTTCTAGGCTATTAGCTGTGACACTCAAGGAAAACATCCTTGTTAAAGCCAGCTCCTTTTGGCCCGGTAGAGGACTATGAAACCTGATCATCCACCTTACTTGTGACTTGCCCTCTGAAAGACTTTTGGTGGTTTTCAAAAATTAAATTTACCCTCAAAAGACAAACCTTTGCGGCAAAAAAGAGGAAGGCCACCCTGCAGCACGGTGAAGCGCCGACGCCTGGGAGGGCAGGGGCTCAGAGAACCGGCTCTAGCCCGGGCCGGCCCTGCTCGGCGCCGCAGCGCTCCAGGACTGCTCGCAGAGCTTTAAATGAGGGCCTGCGGAGTGATCGTACTTTCTTATTTGGGATATGCACCTAAGTTAGAGCCAGTAGCAACTTCAAAACAACCTACTAGTCTCGCTAGAGACACACATTTCTATTAAGAAAACATGCATGTACCACTCAGAATGACTTATTCCTCTCATTTTTGATACCTAGAATGGACAGTTTCCATCAGGTGAGATAACAGCATTCAGGCATAGAATGCACTGCAAATGGCCTAGACCTCTTGCCCCTGTCTTGCTGCAGATTCATGTACCTGAGAAAGATGTCATTAGGCTAAATTCTGAATCAGAGACTAGGTAGAGGGGAATTATTAGGAGGTGTTTGCTGTAGTCCTGTCTCTGCTCCTTCAATCTTACAGGAAAACCAAAGATGTCCCCATGTTGGCCTGAAAACCAGATCATTTAACAACAAAGTGGCCCAGAACACAGTAAAGTATTTGGGAAGCTGATGAATGAATGAGCCTATGGCACAGGGAGCAGGAAATTCGGAAAGAGAAACAGATGGTCCTGAAAGATGTTTCCACTAGTGCCCCCACCCACCCCCAAAAGACAACTGTGGGCCTCTTGTGCCAGGCTCTGTCCTCACTGCACAGCAGTCCTAAACAGTCAGGATGGGCAGGAGCATCAAGAAAGCCACGATGACCCTGCCTCACTCACACACACTAGACGCCAGGCACTACTCTAGCCACTGGAGGACGGTCAGGAAACACACTAAACTTTCTGCCCTCATGGAGCCTGTGTTGTAGTGCGGATAGACAAACAAGAGGACAGACAGACAGACAGACATAATTTGTCACATGGTAAGAGTGCTGTAGAGAGAGACCAAGGAGAAAGGGCAAGTGGAGTGCTGGTGAGGAGGGAGTTGTTTATACAGGGCGCTCCGTGAGGCCTCCAGACAGCTGCACTCGACCCGAGACCTCAAGTAACGGAAATCGGTAAGTCTTGCGTAGGCCCCGCATAGAGGACAGTGATGCAGAAGCCCCACGACAGGAGCAGGCTTGGTGAGGCTGCTGACGGGCCAGGGGACTGAGTGGCTTCCTGAATGACTAGCAGATGAGGCCAGGAGGACGGGGGGCACTGAGTAGGGCCTTTCAGGCCACTCTCAGGATTTGAGGCTTTATCTGAGGGGAAGCCAAGGAGATG